GCTGGACATAACAGGTCAAGATTTTGGAATGCTGGAATAGTGTCAATGCATTTTATATCATAGGATGGATTTGATTCTTTGGTGGCCATAAGGCGGACTGTGATAGGAAAATAATGACACCCTAAAGATGTCCACATTCTAATCGCTGGAATCAGTGAATGTGTTGGGTTACATGGCAAAGAGGAAATAAGGCTGCAAGTGGAGTGAAGGTTGCTAGTCTGCTCACCTTACAACAGGCAAATTATCCTGGATTGCAAAAGTGGGCCCAAAGTAATCACAAAGGTCCTTAAATGGGGATGATGGAAGCAGAAGAGGAAGTAAGAGTGAGACAGTATGAGGACTCAACCAGTTATCACTGGCTTTGAAGATGGGGGGCATGAGCCAAAGAAAGCAGGGCACCGCTAGAAACTGCAAAAGACAAGGGAATGGATTCTCCCGTAGGGTCTCCAAAAACGAATGTAACCCTGCCAACACCTTGATCTTAGTCCAGGGAGTCCTGTTTCAGAATTTTGACCCACAAAACTGTAAGACAATAAATTTGTGCTGTTTTAAGCCACGAAGTTTGTGGTACTTTGTTATAGCAATCACAGAAAACTAAAACACCAGATCAGTATCTTTTCTAGTGGTGAGAATCTCTCTCTGAATCTTGAGGAAAACGTAAGTGTTTCTGTCACGCAATTTACTGCAGTCAGTTCGGCACACATGGTTCAAAGCTAAATCAGAATGAGCTGTCCACAGAGGTAACCAAAGTCTTCAGTCAGCAGTCTTAAATGGTGTGCAACAGAATCCTCCACAATGAAAACCAGGAGGCAGAGCACTACGCTGAAAACCATTTCGTGTGTGTGTGGACAATTTTTCCACTTACAAAGATTTTAACCACAGAAAACAAAGGACAAGGACCATGAGACCATTCAGTGCTAACAGACTCTGATCACTGGGCTCGTCAACGCCCCGTCACCTTTGTGTCAGAACAGCTGTTGACCCTACTCAACATGAGACAGTAAAGAGAAAGAGAGAGAGAAAGTACCATTGTCACAGCTACAATGGTTTTATGTCACTGATTCTCTTGGTTTATTCATGATCAGTGGAAAAATATCTAGTCAATAAATTAAAGGCTCAGTGGGACATTAATGATAGTAACAGAAGAAATCAATATTTACTAAGTGTCAATGTGCTAGCATTCTGCTGCCTAAATCCTCAAGAGGTATTAAATAGGTTAAAAAAGAAAAAACAAATAAAAAAAGAAAAAATCCAAAACTGAGTCTTAAAAAGGTTAAACAACTTGTCTGGGATCATCAGGTAGATTTGAATCCAGGCCTGTTCATCCTTTCCCTTATGCCATACTGGTCTCATTCTTCATCAGCTGGTTGAAAATATAGCCACTGCACAATTAAATATTCCCAGCAATTGTCAACAAAACAGTATTCCTAAGGGTCTCCAGAAATGTCACTTTAACTGGGAGGAACACCTCTGGCATTTGGTGTGTTGGGGCCACACCAGGAAAAATTATCTCTCCCAGAATGCCAGTATGACTCCTATAAAGATAAAAGGATGTAGCTGAAGTTTAGGGCTCTCAGAGGCTCCAGAATTTTTATGATAGGAGGCCCTAGGGAGAGACTTGGAAAATGGGACCAGAAGACTTGCCTGGAGCTATGTTTATATACAGCATTTTACATAAGACTCTCTACATGAGGAGTCCCTGGTGGCACAAATGGTTAAGCAATCAATTACTAGCCAAAAGGCTGGTGGTTTGAATCCACCCAGAGGTACCTCGAAGACAGGCCTGGAGATCTGCTTCCGAAATGTCACAGCCTTGAAAACCCTATGAAGCAGTTCTACTCTGCACACATGGGGTCACCATAAGCCAGAATCTACTCAACAGCAACTAACAATGACAACAACAAAAGACTGAGAGTTACCTGTCTATATCAAAGTGTGTTGCATTTCCTTAGGACTGGGTTCTGGGCATACTCTCTCTCCCAAAGTCCATTATACTTCATAACAGCTTTACAAACTGTATGTGCTCTTTCTCTTCTCCTTGTTTAGTCAACTCCTACTCATCCTGCAGTTCTCAGCTTAAATGGCACTTCCTTAGAGAAGCTTTCCCTTCCTTTCACCTCAACCTGGATTAAGTCCAGTTGTTATTCTCACAAAAATACACCCCCTGAACTTTTGCTTCCACACTACTTAATTCAATTTCCAGCTGTGTACATTTGTGTAGGTAACTTAATGTATTTTCCTGACTATTGGCTAGCCTATTACACTGGACCATCAGACAATTATTTTGATGAATGAATGAATTAGTTGGAAATAACCGAGATGTCCAATAATAAGTGAAGTATGAGATAAACCTGGCCCATTATGCAGTTTACCAAAAGATTTTAAAAACCCAGGATACACAAATACTTGTTACAGTGAATAAAATCAAAGGAGAAGCAAAAGTATATGCTCTTTATGATCACAACTATAAAAACTGTAGAAAGGAACAAAAATGTTAAATAGGTGGCAGAAACTGTGTATATTTTTATCTTCTTATTTTCTGTACGCAAATAAAAAAAACTATGCTCCTACATAAAATTTGGCTGCTATGTTTTTTGTATAAACTATTTTCTCCATACAAAATACCCTCCTCATTTTTCTTTACCATTTCATGTTCTTCTCCACCTCAAAACGTAGCTCGAGTTCCTGCAAAATGGTGCTCTAGGC